TTCCAGATAAAAAATTATCTTTTGAGTAATACATGTCAATATAGTATTTGTAATTTTGGCTTGGAGGTATCTGTGAGGAAAGTAGGCCTGGGTAAGATGCCAAGGAGAGTTTTGAACATCTAGAGGGAAGCATGAGGATATCATGCTCCTGCACAATTTTAGTGCAGGATCCAGAAATGGAGTGGCAGAGGGCCAAAGACAAAATTCTCTACTATGAGGCTTATATAGATGCAGTTCTCTCTTGAGGTTGGTCTCATCCAAGGTATCTAGCACACTTGATATTTAACCCTTGACAGGTCACGCCACCACCTCCTGCCAGTAGCTCATCCTGTCTGGCATGAAAAAGCTGTTTCTGCAACGATGGGTACATGTGAACGTTGGATGTCATCATGCGGAATATCCAAGATTTCTTACGCACAGAAAATAGTATAAAATAGAATATTTTGTGTGAGTGTCATGGGTGGTTTACATCTCATGTGTCTGTGAACACATAAAACATCAGAAAAATCATAAAGCCACTGCAAATTCCAAAGCACGCATACAACTCAACAACTGGAATCTATACATATGCTGTGTACTTGCAATTTCAGTCCCCATATGGGAGCCATGTTCTCTTATATCTTATAAGGAATGTAAGAGTTATTGTGATACACTAGAAAGTATACTATACTTGGAGTCAGGTTTGGAAAGTTCTACTTTATAACTGTGATTTAAGAAAATTATTTCACTTAGATGAGATCAATTTTCTATTAAAATGAATCTAGTAATATCTATTCCACAAAGCTTTCTACACAATTTAAATATATGATATATATGAAAGTTTCAAAGAAAATTCTTAGCATGTTTTTCATAATATGCTAAGTAAATTTTGTAACACGCTTAGTAAATTTTAATTACTTTCATTCCTAAAGTAAAACCTAATAACACAAAGTAAAGCATATCATGGAGCATGTGTGATAAGTAAAAGAGACAGCTCTGAAATAGCCCTGAGGGATAGTAGAATCGTGGACAATTTTCCAGAAGGATTGTCTTAGCTGAGTCTTAAAGAACAAGCAGCAATTAGATGGGCAAAAATGTGTGGATGGAGGAGTATTCCCTCATTCATTAATAGTTGTTGAGTGTGCTGTTTTCCAGGCAGAGTCTACATTCTAGAAATATAGTGGGCAAAGGAATAAGAAAAGACTGTGCTTTTGACTTACATCTTTGTGGGAGAGAAAAAAAAACAGAAAAGTAAATGATTAACCATTTCAGACAATGCTAACTGCTCCGAAGGAAAAGTAATGGATGGAGAGTGATGGAGAGAGGTGTGAGCAGAGAAGATCTCTATAAGCAGGAAATTTTCAAGCAAAATTCTAAATTATGTGATGGAGTGATATATGAAAAGATTTAAAGGAAGAACATTCTAAAAAGGCAGAACAAGTATTAAGGGCCTGAGGTAAAAATAAACTTGAATATTCTAGAAACAGCAAAAGAACCAGGGTGGTTAGAGTTAAGAGAGCAAAAAGCTACATTAATTGATGGAAAATTAGCAAGTAATCATTTGATATTAACGATAGAATAAAAGAGTGCTTGGCAAAGCTGATGTTTCAAGATCACTGTCAGAAGAGAAAAGATTCCTTGATTTAGCAAGTAGAAACATAACTGACCAGTCATGACCATGAGAAGTAGTTAGAAGTGGTCTGAGGGATCTAAGATCAAGCCCTCTGTATCTAAGATCATAATTGTTAAACTTCACAGCATATAACCCAGAACTGGCGGGAACAGGGAGAGGATGAGTTGTACCTTCCCATGAGAATCCTGAGGTCCAAACTCCCCTGCTGAGTCTTTAAAAAGAGAAGCCAGAATTGTAGCAGACTATGGGCTGCAGTCAAGCACGGATAACAGCATTTATGCACGGAATATGGGACTAATCTCATTTATTTATTCATTCATTTAATCATTATTCAACACTTAATGATCGACTTTTGTGAAAGTTACTGGGAATAAACTGGTGAACAAGATACATTTCCCACCCTCAAGCAGTTTATAGTCTAGTGGGAGTATCTGAAATAATTTACTGTTTAGAATTATCTACAAATTGAGTCCTGAAAGTCAGTTGGAGTTATCCAGGGGAAAATGAGGAAAAAAATAGCTTTCTAAATAAAGCAAGTGTTTTGTGAAAGAGTCAAGAAATGGCAAAGACCATTATTTGTTTAGAAACTATAAATAATTCTTCTTGAGAAGTACCCAAGTGGT